TTGTAACCCTCTTGGGGTGAACCATGTAAATCTTTGTGCTCTTGTGGAGTGTGTTTCTATTTTGTTTATAGCTGGATAAGTAAGCGATATTGGTAGAATCCAACTTTTGAAATTCCTGTTTTCGTATCTAAAAAGGTTCTTAAATCCTAACACTTTGAATTAATAGTTTCGAGATGGAGGCATTTTGGGTAAAAATACATAAAAAATACACACAAACATAAAAATATAAAATATGGGAAATATTTTTCTAGATATTGCTTCTTATAAGGGATACTAGTGCAAATTTTCTATAATAGCTCGTGCGTTTAGATAAAATTATATGGGAAAATATATAATGATACCATTTACTTTTGATACAAAGTGGTCACATTAATCTTGACCATTGGATGTGAAATTGAGTGGCTGCCATTATTCTATTGACTAAGCTCAAACTTCAAAATAAATTTTCTCTAACTTTGTGACACAACCAAGCTATCAAATTTTGCATGAAATGATTGTAAGGAATTGTGACCACTTTGTATAAAAGATAAATAGTCTCATTATATACAATCCCAAATTATATATTTTATTTCCACAAAAAGCAAGGGATTCATTTATGGCCACGCCCAATTGTTGACAAGTGTGGCGTTGCTTACAATCGTGGGCTTCATCCCATGTTTCATTATACTTATCCATTCATAACAGTGTAATAATTTTTTATTTTATAATGCCCTTTTCCAACATTCATATGTACAACAGTGTAATAAGTTTTTATTTTATAATGCCCTTTTCCAACATGCATATGTATATGTATGAGTTGGATGAGTATCCTTGAGGTAAAGGAAGACCTTTTTTGATGCATTCACCGTGGTTTTCACCATGGGATTTTGAGACCCAAAAGGCATCCTAAATCACTGCATATTCCTTTATGTTTCACTTCTATGAATATTGACCTCAAAAAAAAATTTTATATGCAATGATTTTTTGACGAAATTAAATGAACATACGTAATGGATTATTGGGACAATGTTGACATTTTGTTTCCAGATTCATGATACTGCAGTAATCGGGATGATTGACTTTATGAATTTTTGGATCCCCAATCTATCCTTCCACAAGGTAAATTTTGGAAGGTGAACATAATAGAGTAAGTCGATAAGACTTATTCATCCCCCATGGCTAGTTGCAAGCCTGAAAAATGAGGAGGGATGTGTTAGGGTGGCAATCAGTATAAAATTTTCGCAACGTTTATTTCATCAATATTGATAGACGATCCGATAAGACATGCATGACAATGATGATGATGATAAACACCTTAGAGTCAATCCAAGACAGGCCTGAACATTGGCCCTAGACCCTACCCTTTTTAAGAATAAGAGATATGGACATGGCTATTTGTGAGTTTTAAAGAGAAATGAATGAATGAATGAAAGGATTGATATAAGGTTTTAGGCATTTTCCAAGAATGTCTCTCACATGGTGCCACCATAAAAGCGCGTGTTTTCGTCCCACTAGGTTCCGGGCGGTTTTGTCCACAAAGCCATTGGTTTTGTATATCTTTGGACCTCTACTACCATCTACGCCCTCTGTTTTTTTTATCCTCCACTCTTTACATCCGTTGTGTTTTTCTCGAACTTCGGGCTCTTCTTTTAGGGGTAGTTTGTATAAGGTTGAGGTCCTAAACAATCAAAATAAAGTACACTTTCAAAATAGTATTAAAAGGTACTGTTTCAATACTATAAATCTTTGTCATGGCCTTAAATTTATGGTCACCTCTAATTATAAATTTAAAGCTTAAAAGATCATGTAGATCAAGCTGATCTATGAACATTTGAAATTCTTTAAAATTGTCGGTCTATAAAAAGCATTACAATATGCATTATTTTCAAGACTTGAAATCCATTCTTTTTCCTTATATCCATGTATTTTAAGACCGATTTTAAGATATTTGAAAAATACTCGGACCTTCAAACGACCTCTTCTAAATGTTTGAGGTGTGCTTTAATTTGATTGTTTAAGGCCTCAGCTTTATATAACTTTTTTTTTTTTTTTTTGAACAAAAACCGGCCCTTCAAAAAGAGTTAACGATCCTTTCAAACCTATTATTTTATTAAATTTTTGTTATTTAATATATTTATATTTTAGAAGTAAAAGTCATGTCTTTATATCCTGGGCAGTTGGTCGAGGCCACTTTCAATCCCGCCCTTTTCATCACAAATGAATAAAAAACTATTTATCCATTCTTGGATTGACGCGTACAAGGAATTTGCCGAAAGTTAAAAAACCAGACAATAATTAATTAATAGGACAATAATATAAATTAATAGTTTACTCTATCGGTTCATAAGGATCCAAAGTATCCATATCCCCCAAAGACAAGATAATGAAAATTCTTATGAATTTGAATGTAATTTAAAAATTTTTCTTTTGTTGGGCAATGAGCAATTTTTTGGTGTGAAGGCACGCACTTGGTCAGTTCGGAAATTGGAGGGGGAGCTGAGCCTTTAATTTGGCAGATGACCAAGTGGTCTAATTCCTTCGCCCTCTTAGTCTTACTTATTAAATGGGACCTCTTGCTCCTATTAAATGGGTGATGGAGTGAGAAATTATATGGTTTTTAATTTCCATGGGTTTCAGCTACCGTTCATTTTTCGTTCAATGTCAAAGAAATAATATCACTCCTTTTTGGAAAAATATCTAGTTTGGGCACCCATGGTAAAAAAATAAAATAAAAAACCACAAGCTTTCTATACCCTCTTTGCTGCATAAATTTTATATACTTCCTCCTATCCAATCATTCATTCGGAAGAGATATCACATTTATAAACTTTCAAAAAATTTATCCTTGGGGTGTGTCATTTTCTTATGCTATTTTAAGTTCATTTTTCCATTATACTTCGAGAGCATATTATTTAATATAAAGAATTACAAAACATTTTGTCGAGCTAAGTTCAGGTGGTTAAAGTGGTATGCCCTCCCTCATTTGGTGGCCTCCGGGCCATTTCATTTGTTTAGGTCCACACACTCTCGAGCTCATTGAATAAAATCATGAGTAAACTTATGAAAAACCAACAAAAGTGGTCCATGAGGAGATAAAAAAAAATGTAGTAAATAGGAGCCGTTTAGTTTCATCATCATCATTTATCAGTTATCTCAATTATTTGAGGTCGTCAGCTACATGAATCATTTTATGCCATTCCACTCTATCAAAAGCTTCAAATTGAGTTTGACCATAATAAAATAAGAAATTATATTGGATGGAACTTTGCCATTACAATGTTTTATAGATTTGTTAATTCAGGTATTTTTCTTTAATGAATTGCAAAAAAAAAAAAAAAACAATGACCGGAGATTACATGGATATTCTTCCCAAGGATTGGGAAAGTTGTACGGGCTCTAGCTGGCTTTCCGGTAAAATGCACTAAAATAAAAATAGATAGCAACATGGTTTTGATGAAAAATATATAAGGTCAAATGATTTGCTTGGTCTTAAAAATATCGAAACTGTTTCCTGTTACGAGGAACCCCTAAAATGAATACTTGTTACCTTATGACAAATATGCCCCCTTTGACTTAAAGCAACCTAGTTAAATGAATGCATAACGTATAAATGGAAAGCTCATATTTACATTAAAGCCCCTGCTCGATAGACAGTATTTCCATACGCATTTTACCCCATCTTTTGCCTTTGGACTGACAGGAAGAGTGTCTTTTACCTTTTGGCAAAAGAATTACTCATTCCGTTAAGAATAGTGCTAGACAAATCGGCCAGGTCCAACGTGAACCGTCTATTGGCCGAGCGGGTTTAGGTAGTCTGGCTGGTTATTTTAAGAAACTTGAAAAAATATCTATGGAAATTTTTTTTAAAAAAAAATAAGGGATTTGTTTATAATTTGTTTTTCATGTTTTATATCATCTTGATAAAGATTGAAATGTATTTTGGCGATGAATACTTATTTTTACTCTTTTTTTTTAGATTATTTTTAAAGTACTCTTAGACACAAATCAATCTTTTAAAAAAAAAATTTATATAAGGATGCAACCTTATAATGTAGAACTACGGATGCACCTCAAAAATCCATCGAAAAAAAGGTAGTTTTAATGTTGAAAAACCCTTTGACTGATCATCTTGACATTGAGATGCATGACCATTAAAAATAAAAAGATTTTAAGTCTAAAAAATAGTGCATTTTACAACATATTATCTACGCCGTCCATTTTCAAGATTTTTATATATTTATAGATCTATTTGATTTTAACCATTTTTTAAATTTAAAATTTTATAATTAGATATAAAAATAGATTTTGAAATAATCCTAAAAAACATTTTATATCAAAATTATATACCATGATAAAATTTGAAGGTGCACCTTATCTCTACAGTTACGTATGCTTCTGTATGCCAATTGCACCCATTCTGTAACTACTTTTTAACTTCACTTATTTGCATTTTGCTGATTTATACTTTAAGTATATGTTTCTCCTTCTTTTTCTGTGTGCATTTTTTGACGCTTTTTTACCTTGGGACCTACTCACTCAGGGCGAGTGAACCCAACCGGTCGATGGGCCTTTTCAAGCTCTTTTTGATAAAATTTTTATAGAAGTAACTCAATATGCTAGGCGAAAAGGCAAATAAAGAACAAATTGAGGTAAAATATAACTTACAAAATTAAATCACAGCAATATTACTATGACTAATTAACGTCAAAATACAAATTAAAATGAGAGGATACAGTTATCGGCTGTATGTTAGTGTATAGCACCAAATGACATCAACCGCTCATTCACACTTATGGGCGAGCACATGCTTATATCATTGGGTACGGCCGCAGTGATGTAACAAGTTAACGGATACTTCCATTTCTAAGAATAATAGGAGGCTATTTTAGTAAATTATTCAACAAACTCGGCTCAAAATCAAATTTATTTATTTTTATTTTTATTGTGGGGGGGGGGGGTGAAATTAACATGTGGGCATGACCTGGCTGGGCGTCACGCGTGTCTGTTATTCACATGAGCGAGGGTGCCTCTTCTCCGGGATTTCTTACTGGCCTTTCCAAATATGATATATAGATATCTCTACAAGCGTATGTATGAGCTGGACGCAGCATATTCGGCCTTCTCTACGGATTCATTGTTAGGGCTAAAATTCTTTCTCTCTCTCTGGACGGCAATTTTTTCATACCGGTTTTTCGCGGATTCTAGGGTTTGATTTTTTCTTCTCTCTTTTTAACGATAGGGTGGGAGGGCTTCCTTTATCGTGAGAATATCTTATCTGAATATATTTAGGACTTGATTTTTTTTTTTTTGCCTGTGATATCTCTCTTCTTGAGTTTTGCTGCATATTTAGTGGTTGCTTTTGTTTCATCACCGGGTTTCTTAGGTTTTTCTTTTAAAAAACTTTTGTCGAGGAATTTTCTGTCTTCCTGGTTTTCTTTGGCTGGGATTTGGGGTGGAATCGGTCTATTCGGGAGCAGTAATGGTGGTGAAGATGATCAAGTGGCGGCCATGGCCGCCTCTGGTTAAGAAATATCAGGTGAAGCTGGTTTTGCACAGGATTGAGGGGTTTAGGGAGATCGAGAAGGCGGATGGCCTGGATTCGTCCAGAGTGACGGTTGAGATTAAGTGGAAGGGGCCCAGGGCCGTTATAACATCTCTCAGGCGCAAGGTCAAGAGGAATTTCACGGCTGAGAGGGATTATTTGCACGATGAAGGTTTTGTTGAATTCGATGAGGAGTTTGGAAATGTCTGTGGGCTCTCTGTTCACAAGGAGAACTTCTTTTATCCATGGGAGATTGCTTTCACTATTTTGAATGTGAGTAAAATTTCTTCTTTCTTTTTTTTCATTGCTTTTATTTTTGTCATTGTCAATATGTTCGGTTTCTGGTTAGATTATGAAGAGAAAACCATTGTTTTGTTTGCCTCTTAGGCATATAAAAAGAAACCGTTATTCTTACATGTTTATTCTGAGGTTTGAGTTGAGATTCAGTTTATTTTGTTTTTATCTTTTTCTGAAACTCCCCATCAATTCGTTGAAATTCAGTTTCTTCCCCATCCCCTCCTTCTCTCCCCTTAGGATCAGGATTTATTTGTTCTATACTGGGGTTTTAGGGTTCCTGGGCCTTTAGAATCAAGCTTTAATGTTGCCTTGTTGTAGCATTCTATTTATTTATTTGACATGGTTGCCTGCTGGAGGTGACTTGCCGGCTACAAGTTGAGGATTATCTGGAAAGTATTAGTTTTCTGAATATTTGAATAAAGGATCAATTATAAAAGTGATTGTCCGAAAAAGGGATCACTTAAATTCTTTGGGATTATACGAGAATAACATTTTATCTGATGGAGGTTTCCTTGTGTAGTCTTTTTAGCTTATTTCGGTTCAAATAATTACCAGGAAAGGATGAAAATTTAGGATCTGTTAAAAAATTTAAAGAATATAATAGTTTCTTCCTTCTTCTTCTTAGATTATGTATTATTTAATTAATTTCGGAATTCTAGAGAGGTTTGAATCATCTGAAAATTCAGGAATGCATGAAGATTCTTTTTTTTTTTTTCTTTTTTTTTTTTGAGTAGTCTAGAATTAACCATTTTAATATATAAACATTCTAGTATGTCCTCTGCAATAATTTGCTGTAGAAATGACCTCCGTCCCTCTCGTTTTGTTTTGAGAGTTTTTAAAAATATGAATTTTATTTTCTTTGACTGTGTGTGCTTTGATACATCAAAAACTTATTTTGTTAACATACTCTTAGCCTTAGTTCAATTTAAGCAGGTTTGGTAGATTTTACTTTCTAAATTTGAAACATCAACACTTGAAAGTATTTTAATGTTTTCCCATTAAATTATTCTGTTTCTTGTTTGTTTAGGGTTTTGTAATCATGATTAGCAGAGTTTAGGTTGTTTAGTCAAATCAAAGGATAAAAAATACACTTGGAATCGACTCACTGATTTGTTGTTTGTAGCTGATGTTTAATTATGTGAACCTGAATTCCTATTGAAGTCGCTTCTTGAGTAATGTCAACCTTACATAGGCTAGTTGGGCATTTTGGCATGTGGAGCCTTTGGCATGCCAGATTTTAAAATTCTTATATGCTTTATGTTTATTCATTTTGGAATTTCATTGTAGGTGTTGAAATGCATTTCATAGACTTTTTTAACAGAATAGGGTTCTAGGCAATGTATGACATACCATTTAGATTATAAACAGCCTCTAATATCCTATATATAAAAAACATGACTGTGTACCCTAACATTGTTGTTTATGATATAGGGTCTCAATCAAGGGCCAAAAACTAAGACCTCTGTTATTGGGACAGCTTCAATGAACCTTGCAGATTATGCATCACCAGTTGAAGGATCCGAGATCGAAATAAAGCTTCCGTTCTCATCGCCTGGTGTCTCCATCGAATCTTCTCCTTTCCTTTTTGTAAGTGCTTTTGCTTCTTTCTCCTACATGCAGTGTTCTCTCTCGCAATCTCGTATATATCTCTCTGTCGCAAACTCGCATCATTTATATTTCTGGTTATTATTTCTTGTTGAAATTAGGAATTTCATAATTTCCTTTTGGTTTCTTATTTGAAATGAATTCTCTCCACTGTGCAGTGTACTCTGAGCTTACTCGAACTGAGAGCTGCTCAAGAGTCATCAGATACAGTCCAGAGATCAATAGCACCTCTATCCCCTGTACCTGGTGAGGCCCCAATTGCTGGAAAAGACGAGCTCTCCGCTCTCAAAGCAGGGCTTAGCAAAGTGAAATTGCTCGCTGACATTGTCTCTGCTCGAAAAGCAAAGAAGGCGTGTCGTGAGGATGAGGGCAGCGACCCTAGCAGGTATTCTATAGGGAGCAACGATGCGTACCCACTTGATTCTGACTCTCTCGATGAATTTGAGGAAGGAGAAGTGGAGGATGGGAAAGAGGATTCGAGCATTAGGAAGTCATTCAGTTATGGGACATTGGCATCGGCTAATTTTGTTGGTGGGTCTTATTACTCGGGAGCGAGGATTGATGGAGAGGATGAAGATTGGGTTTATTACAGTAACCGCAAGTCGGATGTGGGCACTGTTCACTCGGAGGACCAACCATCAGCGAGCGAGCAATCAATATTGCAGTCTTCGAAGAGGAGCATTCTCTCATGGAGGAAGAGGAAGCTGAGTTTCAGATCACCAAGAACAAAAGGGGAGCCACTATTGAAGAAAGCCTATGGGGAAGAGGGTGGTGATGATATCGATTATGATCGCCGGCAACTTAGTTCCTCCTCAGATGAGTCTCTCAGCCTAGGGGTATGCATGAATTTCTTATCTACTATTCTATACTGTGTCTCTACTTTATATCAAGGTCACTGAAGTTGACATGGAGGGCCCTTGTCTTCTTATCTATTGACTAGCAATTTTAATGTTGAAATCGAGAATCTCAGGGGCCATATTAAATGCACATCCCACCGTTATTTATATGCACATCACCCTAGGTATATGCATAGAAAACATGTGGGTTTAAAATCGAGAATGTCAGGGGCCAGATTAAATGCACATCCCACCATTTATATGCACATCACCCTAGGCATATGCATAGCAAACATGTGGGTTTCCTGTTATCCATATGGGATACTCTGCAGTTCCTCCTCTCTCTTTCCTACAGGCCCTTAATTAATACCCTGTGATTTCTGAGGAATGTTACTGTCTGGTATCTAGTAATCTATCAACAGTAAAAATTAGTTGCTGATGGCATTTAAATGCTTCTGGATTGTGAGCATCTGGTATTTTAGAATGGTGTTATGTTCTACAAATGTGGTGTCACACAAGACCTGAACATTTGTAGCCTTAACTAATACCCTGTGATTTCTGAGGAATGTTACTGTCTGGTATCTAGTCATCTAGCAACAGTAAAAATTAGTTGCTGATGGCATTTAAATGCTTCAGGATTGTGGGCATCTGGTATTTTAGAATGGTGTTATGTTCTACAAATGTGGTGTCACACAAGACCTGAACATTTGTGGCTTTTCAACTCATTTTACAAATAGTATTTTACACTCTTTTAAGTTTTCAATGATTCTTGCCTTCTCTCAAATTCTATTAATGGCAAATATCTGGTGTAGGTCATTTCAACCACAACCGATTTTAGTGTATCTGCAGTCATTCGTCACATTTTTAGTTCAAAAGTAAGTTGTATTTTAATCAGGGTATGCTCTTTCATGCCTGCAGATGGCCAAGGCAGAAGATGAAGCTGCTGTGAACCGGTTGTCAGTGTCCGAGTTTGGAGATGACAATTTTGCAGTTGGGAGGTGGGAGGCGAAGGAGCTCATAAGCCGGGATGGACACATGAAGCTCAACGCCCACGTCTTCTTCGCGTCCATCGACCAGAGGAGCGAGCGCGCTGCAGGGGAGAGCGCATGCACCGCTCTCGTGGCTGTGATTGCCGACTGGTTGCAAGCCAACCCCAACTCAATGCCCATCAAATCTCAATTCGACAGCCTCATTAGAGAGGGCTCTCGAGAGTGGCGAAGCCTCTGCGAAAATGAGGCCTACCGAGAACGCTTCCCTGACAAACATTTTGACCTAGAAACAGTACTTCAGGCCAAAATAAGACCCCTCTCTGTCTTGCCTGAAAAATCCTTTGTTGGGTTCTTCCACCCTGACGGTTCAATTGAGGGTCTAGACTTTTTGCAGGGTGCAATGTCCTTCGATAATATATGGGACGAGATCAGTGCTGCTGCTTCATATTGTAAGGAGGGTGATTTTCAGGTGTATGTAGTGAGTTGGAATGACCACTTTTTCGTGCTCAAAGTTGAGCCCGAGGCCTACTACATTATGGACACACTCGGTGAGAGGCTTTTTGAGGGGTGCAACCAGGCCTATGTATTGAGGTTTGATAGCGACACGGTGATGTATGAGTTGCCTGAAGAGGAGGAGAAACCAATGGGTGAGGATACCACCATAAGGAGGTATGAACAGCAAGAGGAAGGTGAGGAGGCGAAACAGAAAGAGGAGGAGTTAGTATGCAAGGGGAAGGAGACGTGCAAGGAATATATAAAGAAGTTCTTAGCTGCCATTCCTTTGAGGGAGTTGCAGGCGGATGTGAAGAAAGGGCGCATGGCAGCAGGGACACTGCTTCACCACCGCCTGCAAATTGAGTTCCATTACACGGCGCTTTCGCAAACCGAATTGGCTGTTGTGTAAAGAGAGAAATCGGTTTGGTTGAAGTATGAGCATGTACATCTATGTTCGTGTATTTTTCTTTTCTTTGGGTCTTGTGCATCTTTTTTTTTCTATTAGTTTGTTTATCCTCTTTAGAGCTTAACTTTGTTATGATGGGTCAGAAAATGGCAGCCCATACACAGAGAGAGAGAGAGGTTTTGATGGTTCCATGTTTTAGCAGGAAAATGGCTCTCTTCTAACCCTTTGATTCGAGTGAGAGTGTGTTAATCCATTCCCTTGTAATATGACTCTTTATTCCAAGCTTTAATTGATGGTTTGACGTGCTTTGCATCTCCTTCAAAATTTCGTAGTAACTGCTCAAGTTAACCACTTGGTAATTGCCGAAATCTCGTGTCTAGAACAAAAGCTTTTGAAGCAAAAGCTTTTTATTTGAGTGGGGATGCATGCGCTGTCACCCACTCCCACTCTTTCCTCATTTTAATCATTCTCGCTCAATGCGGAAAGTCGCAACCGTTTTGAGTTTCCTCCATTTTAATTCTCATCCACCTTAATTTACGACCCGATTCCCTTCTCAAAAAAAGTTTATAAAAGGCTGCATGCAACCTTATATTTTGAGTTTCCTCCATTCTAATTCTCATCAACCTTAATTTACGACCCAATTTCCTTCCCAAAAAAAGTTTATAAAAGGCAGCAACCTTATATTGTAGAAGTAAAGTGCACATTAAAAATCTCTTAGAAAATAGCGAGTCAAAGTTGGAAGTTGCGTAGGAAGTCAATTTTTTTTTTAATTTATTTATTTATTTCTTATTTTTTTACCCATATTTCAATTTTTCTTTGTACCCTTTTTGGGTGAACATCTGACCCAAATTGTTTTTATTTCTTTGTAGTGTAGGACCCAAATGTTTTCGTTTCTTTCTCAATTGGCGTCAAAGTGACCCACAGTTCCATTGTATTCTATGTATTATAACTAAACATAGAAGGGGTTGATTATGACCATTCTTTTGTTTGTTTATTGCTTGACCCATGTGTTGAAGTCTCGCAACTGCTCCTCTTGGTGTTTATATGTGCGAGGTGTAATTTAATGACATGAACGAAAAGCATCCTTTTCATGTATTATATTTATCAAAAAAAATTCAGACGATTGAAATGAAGTTTATGGCCTGAGTATTCACTTAAAAATTAGAAAAATTGAAAGTGAGGAAAGTTAATTGTTGAAGGAAGAAAGATAGGAAAAGTAATAGTTCTCAAAACTATAAACATATGAACCAACTTCTTAACTTCCACCCCAATTGAGAAAGCAAGACATCACTGATTCTGATTCTTCAAGCGAAGAAGAAGGGGCGGGCTCTCCTACGAGCGATATGAAAAAGAACCTCTCTTGAAAGCAGCAGATCCTCTCAATACTGATGTCTTCTCAACGAATTCATCCTTCAAAGGCTCCGATTCTTTTCTATCCATCTTTTCTCAACAGCCAAGTCTAGAGCCTTGAATCAGACAACCCCGACAAAGACTTACTCACTGCTTGAAAATTAGTTGGGTGAAAACGGGAAAAAAAGATATACATTAAAAAAAAAAAATTGTTTCATGTACGCTAGACCGTATTTCTACATATGAGTGAAAGGATAGTGCGATCTAGCTGGAGTGTATAATAATTTATTTTTCTTTTTTTTTTCAATTATTTTCTTTTCTTCACAGTCTAGATCACTCACAATAAGTCTTTTTACAATATAAAACCTTCAAATAAAGTAAAAAATAATAATATAATAGGATATCAAGAACTTGAGGCCATTCAAAACATTTCTTTCAATAACAAACAAAAGACAACCTATACTTGGGAATAAAAGATACAATAAATAAATATGGAAAAAACAAAAGACGGAGCCAGAGATTACCTCAACTAGGCTTCGTACACCTCACGCTGAGTCTCCTTTTTCCGATGATAGTCAGGATATTTGATCAGTCTCTTGATTTTTTCTTCTTATGGCAAAACCCAAACAATACACATGGATCTCATTCTAGAACCACCCACCTAAATCCTCAATACTCTTGGCTTGATCCTTATGAGAAATAGAAATCAAGAAAGGAGTGAGAAAACTATTAGTTAGGGATGATCCCTTTGCTACTCACAAAATCACATGAGAAAACTACTAGTTAGGGATGATCCATTTGATGCCCACAAAATCACATAACGAAAACCTAGCTTTATTTAGAACCCATAAAAGAGATTCAAGCTTAACCTAGCCTAGTTTGGGCGTGCCCCCTTACGATAGTTTGTGTGTGAGAGAGAGATTCTATTTTAGAGAGAAAAGAGAGAGTATATAAGAGGTGTAGAGACAATAGAGGAGAATGATCCATTTTATAGATTTTTCATGCATTAGAGTTTGCCATAAAATAGTAGAAGCAAATCTTGACCGTCAATTTAAGGAGACTTGTGGGGTGAGATATGTGAGTCATCCATTCCCTAGATCGACCATCAAGATGTACTAGGACCTTATCATCCTCTTCTTAAACCTATTCTCATCAAATAAGTAAAATAAGAAAAATATTTTTTTACTTTATCTAATAGTAAATATTCATTCCTTATTTCTCAATCAGATCTTATTGATTCTCAAGATTTTCTAAAACCAAATATTTCATTTCTTTATTGCAAGTAGGCTTCTCTCCACAAAAAGAAAACCAACTAGCATGGGATGTCTCTCACCATATTTAGTAAGAAAAGACAATCCCTTATGAGTGGGGCATTGGTGGCCACTCATGGGCTCCACCCAATTGCCCCATGTGATTTTAAATGAGCTTCCAATAATTATGAAGGGCCCCACATATTTTAGAAATAATAAATATTTTTAAACTTTTCAAACACCTTAGTTTATTTAAAACTTTAAAAATGAATTTCTCTTGATTTATAAATCTAAATGACAAAATTAAAATATCAAAAGATTCATAAAACTTCAAATAAAAATTCTAAAAAACTCAAATAACATTAAATTAATTAAATTAAATTAATTTTGATGGGAATTTAATCAATGCATAAGAGCACTCTACCATTAACTGTGGACCACGATCCACATTAGCTTTCTCAAACTAACTCAGCAGTTCCCATGACCTACAATCCACTGCATGGGCTCATGATTTGACTGCAAAAGTCAATCAATAGGCTAGGGGACGTAATCCCAGTCGGTGGATTTTAGGTTCTCCTCTAGTGACAAACCATGATCTACTAAACCATAATGCAACTGTAACTCTATAGTGCATAGAGGTAATATATCGTACATGTACACACTTCACCATCAATGGTGGATTACTATCTCAGTATGGCTATCTATATATATGTCGTGTGATGATACAGGTTTTAGTTATGTCTATATATATTATTCGTCACACACAAGGGTCACACATTCATTCAGTTCTCTTCTGAGCATACTCGGATTGCATCAAGGACTAACCCACTAAACTCTCATCAGTTATATCTCTATGCTCAGGTCAACTCGGCTGGCCTAACACGTCAAGCCTAGTCCGAGTATCGACAAATTGTATTTGTCTAGTGTGGCCCACAAGAGGACAATACCCCCACTGAGTTTATGATTCATTATGTACTATACTTATACAAACTCTCATAAGACCTTTAAAGATCACATAAACCTAACAACGAGGTCAAGAAAGTGTAAAACATCCATATTCAAGATGGATGCAAGTAGGTGTTCCATCTAAAAACAATGCAAACCAACAATTCAAATGTTTTCTTACTAGAATTATTATTTTTAGTTTTGAATTTTTTTTTTTTTCATTATTCTAT